TTTTTCTGAAAACAAATCGGTCGACGACCAAATTTTATGGGCACTTTGGTCATTAATTTTTTTTGTTAAAACTACATCCAAGGACAATTTTGACCAGAAAAACATTTAATAATTTTGAAAAAATATGAATAATTCTAGTAATAACACCATTAAATTGAATCATTCTAGAATTTTTCCCTTTATATATATAATTAAAATAATTGTAAAACAACAAGTTTTGAGTTTTAACTGTTTTAAATGTGAAAAAACAATCAATAAATCCAAATATATTTAATGTGTTTACTAATTTATATTTTTATAATTGGTTATAATATATATTTATGTATATATATATATATATTCAAATCAAAATCTAAAATAAAATAAAAACTGAATAAAAAATATAGGAAAACTAAACTACTAGAAGTGAAATTCATTAAAATATCTAAAGCATAAACATTAGACACAAATACAAAACTAAGGAAACGAGGACAATCTCTAGAATCACAAAGAAAATCAATATGTATGTAAATATTCCATATAGTTACTTAACTAATATATTCAAGTCAGCTATGTGTGGTTCATTTTTTACTCATAATATAAATCTGAATAAAAAATATATGTCAAAGGGGTAAATGTTTAATAATATAAACTTTATTTTTAATCAAAATACAAAAGTTATCCAATCCAAGCAGGGGGTTTATGTAAACAACAACCATTTTAATGCATATTAATAAATATATATATATGTTAAACATGTAGATTTCATATTTTCTCCATATACAATATTCTCTCTATTTTGATAATGATACATATTTTAGATTTTTTACATATATTAATAAAACATCTAATTAATGCATCATTCTTTGTGATTAGCTTTTTCCAATAATTATATATCAAAATCTAATAATTATAGTTAATTCTTTTTGAAATTTGTAATTAATCAATATTAGCTGTTAAAATAAGTATTGAAATATAAAAAATATATCTTTTTGAAATAAATATTTTCTTTAAAACATGTAACTTAATGAAGCAGAGGTAGTATGTAATTTTCTTACTCCGTTCTTTGTCAGACTGATTCTTTCTTTAAGAAACATAATTATATTGGTAACTAGTGGTAGTCCGGCGCTACGCGCCGGGTTTATATATTTTATTCTCTAATGAATCCGAAATTATTTATAATTTTGAAATTACCAGTATTTATGAATAATCTCTTACATCATGTATGTTTCTTCTTTTAGATGATTCGTATGATGTTGTTGATAGTTCTTACATTTTGGTGGTCGATACGGGTTTCTAACAAACGTTTAATGTGTTTTGTAGTTATTGAATATTCTTTATTTTCGTTGTTCGTCAGGATATATAATGTATGCATTATGGGAGGTTACATTATATTTTATTATAATATATCTTCAAAAGTATTTAGTAGAAAGTGGAAGTTTCTGTTTCTAAATTTCTAACGTTAATTGGTCTTAATTTGCTTGTTGCTGATTTTTGAATTGTAAAATTACTATGATGATGGATTAATTATAGATTTTATTTTTGGTATACTTCTATAGTTTTACAGACGTATGATTGTCTTGGTTGGATATGAGTGTATAGTGAAAAAGACAAATAACATGTGGCAAAAAGGGTAATCATTCATAACTTTTACATTTTCTTTTGTTTGTTCTGGTTATGGCTGTTGTATTAGTGGTTAGTGATAATTCTCTTAATTTTCATTAATGTAGGAGTTAATTGCATGTGGATTTTGGAGCTTATATTGTAGGCGGTTTGAGGTGACTGAGGAAAAAGTGATAGGGTACGGAAACAGATTTATTTATTTCGGTTAAGTGTCCATTTGAAGCTGGATGTTATGTCTCATGTGAATGTATTTTACACCGTGCTTATTTTATTGGTTTACTATGTTTCTAGACTTTGATTTCTATGTAACTATACTTTATTCTATTAATGTGTTTTTTGTCACATTTGTTGTTGTATTTAGTAATTTTTTGTGTAATGTTTTAGATTAGTGGTTGACCATATTTCGTATTTAAAAGTATGTAAAAAAACAGAGAATACCAACATGAGAGATAACGTGGAAATGCATATGATAAACTATACTTCAGTAAATCTGCAGAAATAGCTGAAGATCGATTTATTTGTTCCGCCAATCTTTCTTCTTCAAAGTCAATCCTAAATGTCCATCAAACCACATTAACCCTTCATCATTAAACTCAATAAATGTTAATACCTTCTTCCTTAACTTGTGAAAAGAGCTCAATCTTAAATCCATGATCAACTTTTCATATTTGCTAATTCTTGTAATAATAATTTTCAACTATTGTTACGCTCGTAAGATTGGTAAAATAATGGAGAAACCTACGATAATGGGATTCTGAAAATTATACTTTACCTTGTTGTTGGTCAAAAGTAGGTCAAGATCAATTAACTTCCAGGTTCTGTTTTTTTTTTTTTAGATTTCAGACTTCTGAAACATAATCAGTTTCTTCTCACATATGTTAGAAACAACTTCGTGTAAAAAAACCTATATACAGATGTAGAAGAAGCTGACAATTGATTTCTTATTGTTGCTACTCTGAAGCCGGCAGCTTTGATAGTACACAGTGGGAAAGATAGGGGATATGTCTGAGTTTGACGACGGCTTGGCCTAAACGGTTGAAGAGAGGTAATGAAAAGGTAAATGTAGCAAACCTAATCACTTTCCGATACAATTTAGGTATTGTACTTTGGACCTAATAAAGTAAATAGTTCTCTTTACATGAGCTTATCATCTAGTTATTATATGAGAAGTGATTTGACAATGTCAGTACACAATAATTTTCACCAGAAAATGAGGACATAACTTTAAAAAGAAATTAGATTTTGACCCGCGCGCCCGCACGAGTGTAGTTCTCTTGTCAACCTGCTCGTGTAGTTCATTTAAAAAATTGTCTTTTAAAAAAAAAATATATTGCGGGTTGGCGGGTACCCGCAGTTTAAATTCGACTGATCCATACCGTTCCGCATAAAATATACTAAACCATCACTCGCCTCACATATTTTTCAAAATAAGTTGATCTTTATCCGCCCTGCAGTGAGTTAAACAGGACGGAGCCAATGTGTAGAGAGTCAAATTCACAACCTTAATATAAATAATCATATAAATTATATTTTAAAATTTTAATGTGAAATATAAAAACTACAATATAAATTGGTGTTTGAAATTGGGCTTTGTATTATTTTTTTCTTATATATATTGAAAACGCTTTTTATAATTGCTATTGGTAAATATTTTAGTAAAAATCAATTTATAAACATATATATATATATATATATATATATATATATATATATATATATTAGAATCAAAATTTTCTATAATTTAGTTTTAAATTATTCTTTTGATTTGAAATATGTATATAAATTTTAAATTTTTTATTATGATTATTTTAAACAAAAAATATTTTAGGTAATTAGATTGATCCATTTGCATATATTGTAAAGCTGGCCCAAATAGATAGTTTATTATAAGAGTTTCAATTTTCTTAATAATTAACCCATTTTGTTTTTAATATACTGCAATCCATGTTACCAAACAACAATATATTCTTTTTATTAAATGTTATCCTTGTTTCCAAACAACTCTCAAATGTACTTCAGTTTTAATAATATAGATAACATGACATCAACTTAATTATGACATGTAAAATTTTTTAGATAATTTTTAAATTTTTGAAAAGGTTTTAAAATATATTATTAGCCAATAATTTTTATAATATCACTAAACATAAATTTATGTATAGATATTTATTTATTTTGGCAAAACTTTTGAAATATTATAACTAACCACTACAATATATATGTATATATAGCATTAATAAAAAAAATAAACTAAATATAAGTACATTGTAAAAACAATTCACATTAAATTATATATCCTATGTTTATAATTAAATAAATATATATATATATATATTATAATTATTTGTAAATTTTCTTTAGAATACAGAACTAAAAAACACTAATAAAATAAAACTTTGTTTTAATTAATGTATAAATTTTTATTAGCATTTATTGGTTCATTAAGTAAACTAAAATCTTTTTTACCATTTTAATATATTTTCCAGCTAAAACAGAAAGATTTAAAACTTTTAAAATTTATAGATTTAAATATAGATATATTTAAATTAAAGATAAGAATATACTTGGAATAAATAGTTATTGAATATAATAAACATTAAAACATCATTAAACAATGTGACACATGGCATTTTTTTCCCCTATGGAGAGTAAAAAGCACACTTTATTATATAAGATTTATTGGTTCATTAAGTAAACTAAAATTTTTTTTACCATTTTAATATATTTTCAGCTAAAATAGAAAGATCTAAAACTTTTAATATTTATAGATTTAAATATAGATATACTTAAATTAAAGATAAGATAAGAATATACTTGGAATAAATAGTTATTGAATACAATAAACATTAAAACATCATTAAACAATGTGACACATGGCATTTTTTCTCCTATGGAGAGTAAAAAGCCAACTTTATTATATGAGATCATTTAAACAATTAGTTAGAAAGGAAAAAATACCTGACCAATGAGGAAAGCAAACTTCCTACGAAGATATCCCATAAGACTGAGGAACGTTAACATTAAATGTACCACTCCCAGTCCCATTCACATATATGGGATACCTACAAAAAAAATTAGAGAATTATGCTAATTTAGAACAAAAAAACAGCATTCATGTCCTTTTAGTATAAATCCTTATTACTCTTATCCATTTAGTATAATATTTTCTATAATCCCAGAAGTAACCCTGGATTAATGTAATTAAACAAAAAATTTAATTAGAATTTAATTTATAAAATATTAATCAAATTAAAAACTAAGGGAATTAAAATAATAATAAAAACAAAAAGGAACAAAATTCCTTTCACTCTCCCGTAACCCTAATTTGGTAAATCATCTCTCTGTTTCGAGAAGAAAACAAAGGTGATTGTGTCTTCTCCGGCAAAGGCAAAGTTGTAATGCAATGCATAGCGAGAGTTCCACTTTCAAGCCAAGGTTCCATGACTTTAATATCCAAGAACATCAAAGCCTTCATCAATGGCGGAGAAATCTTCCACGTTAGATCCCGTCTTAACGTTAAAGAGACCTCAATACTAGTTGGAATGAAATCTGATGAAAACAACTCAGTGAATTGGTACGTCTTGATGAAAAAGTTTTGTAACGACGAATACCTCCTTCGACGGGTTCCGTTTCCACCCATCAGCGGTAAAGATGCTTTGATTGCGGCTGGTAATAGAGTTTTAGTACTTGGTGATTCTGGATTTTTCTATGTGGAAGGTGGATCATACAAGAAGAAGGTTTTGTCCAAGACTAAAGCCATACATTATGATCCCATAACGGCAGTGATAGATGACAAAGTTTACGTGTTTGGCGGATGTTCAAGTGAGGATGCTCTGAATTACGTCGAGTTTCTCTACCTCAGCACAAACGAATGGGAAACTATCCCCATACCTGAGCAAGACAGAGAGCTGATATCACCTAACTCAGCTACAGTTGTCTGGAATGGGCTTATTCACTTCCTCGGCGGAACCAAATGCGTGATTTTTGATCCAGAAACAGGGAAATTGGAGAGGAAAGATCAGACGTCCATGAGTGAAAGGATGTATCTCACCTCCTGTGTCATAATCAACACCATTTTCACTGTTGGATGGAATTCCAAGATTGAATATTTTGATCCAGAATCCAGAGCTTGGAGAGTTGTGAGAGGAATTGAATCTTTACCTGAGTTTGACGTGTTCTCCACTGCATTGTTTAACTTCAATGGGAAGCTCATGGTTTTGCACAAGAAGAGGCCAGAGGAGATCTGGTTCACATTGATCATATTAGATAAGCAAGGGCTAGATATGTGGGGATGGGTTGAATCTTGCAACTGTGGTCTGATTCTCCATAAACCTGCAGAGATTCTGCAATTGGTAAGCCTTGAGATATGAGATATCTGAACATGAATCTAATTATTTAAGTCTTTGTACCCTTTTCCTCTTTGTTTCCTCTTTAGTTGACTGTGAACAATACTGCTCCGTGCATTTTTCACTTTCTTTCTTAAATGTTGTCCACTGAAGAATCTCCTTGCCAGCCTCTTCACTTTATGGCTTGTCTTTATACCCACAACCGTGTTGACTTCAAGTTTTGCATGGAATCCATTGTATAAGAATGAGAAAACAAAGTTCAAACTTGTTGGTCATTTTACTAGGACTTACCGTCTTCAATTTATACTCATACTTCTTCCTAACCTTCATTTTCTCCATCAAGCTCCTACAAAGATTTAAACACAATAGCCACTACAATCTGTTTCTATAAGATTAAACTTGTCTGTAACCTGTAACTGAAAACTTACTGGCAGAGAGGGACCTCACAAGAATCAGAATCATCACAGACACAAGCGTGAAGTTGAAAAAGCTGCCACATCCTTTTGCAACGAGAACAAGAAGCCCTAGACTTGCATCCCAAGAAATGTCAAAGTTCACTTTCAACACCTTTACAAAACCGGAACTCACACACGATTCCCCTTTCTTCTTTAAGCGGTTTATCACGAGGCCCAATCATCACACAACCTTCTCTATATTTTATTAAAAAAATCTTTTTTGAATATTTTCCTAAATATTTTCTCAAATTTTTGGATTTTTGTTTAATCTTATCCGTAGAAGCTACCTTCTACAGAAAGTAGAATTACTAACGTCCCACTGTAAGCAAATTCTACTAACAGTAGAGGTTTGAGTTATGTGTAGATTACGTATTCTGAGATATGTAGAAGTGACTTAAAATGTAGAACCCGCATTCAGTTATTCTGTAGAATTCTATATAAACGTAGAATATAGATTCTAAAATATGTAGAGTCCTATACAAATGTAGAATATAGCTTCTGAAAATTGTAGAGTTTACTATACAAACGTAGAATATAGCTTCTGAAAACTAATCTCCGGGCGTCTGTGACGTCTCGCAGTGCTGAAAGTTGGTTTTTATTTTATATGCCGCGTTTCGTGTTCGGAACGTTTGCGGGCTCAAAGATGTTGCACGGTGTTGCGAGGGTTTTGTCTTAACCTTGCTTTGCAGGAATACTTTGGTTCGTTTGCGGATATTCGCAATTAAAACTTACATTCATGTTTGGATGTTAGGTAGTTTTACGATTTTTGCTAGAGCAATTAGGACCGAGAGGTCGCGTAAGTTGTTTCCCGAAACGAAGCGTTTTTCGTTACGGTGCTTTGTGAAGTGTTGACCTTCCGAAATTCGTACGGCTTTAGGAGCTCTGGTACGAGTGTTTTCTTATACGTCGGATTTTGTAGGCAACTTGCTTCGGGAATAGAGTGAATCGCGAGAATACAGAACTTAGCCGATTTTCGACAAGTTTGCATTATCCGTTGAATGTATTGGCTTGGCGTGAAGGTTGTGTTCAGCCGCGCAGCCAAGGTCGTATTTGGTAGAGGATTAGACCACGACACTTTCGTGCTATCGAAAAGGTCGAGTCGGTTTGTAAACTTAGCATTGAAGTGAAGCGCGATCGGAAAATAGCCGAGTAGCGTTTGTCAAGCTTGATATGCCAAGTAATCCCGTGTTTATAGAAAACGTTTTTCCGCTGTAGGTTTGATTTATACGATGAAAGTTTTGTATAATCTTTCCTTTGTTTGTATGGAAGTTGTTTCTTTTTTACTCGAGGGAGACAGATCCTAAGAAGCTCGATGCAGAGCCCGTGCGGAGTCGTTTGCGGGGCAGTCTCATTCTCGGATGTAAATGGGAGGAATGAGAACGGATGTTTGTGAACCGATGGCCTAAAGAGTGAGATCTTTCAGATCGTGTCGCGAGGAGGCAAAGTTTAGATTGGCCGCCCAGTGCCGGATCGTATAGCTTGGTTTTTGCTATAAGGAAAGTACTTTTCGCAAATCCTGTTACGTTTACTTTGAAAGTTACTTCGTTATGACACGATTCTGACTATACGAAGGATTTCTCGCGTAAACAACGGGCGATGAATTTAGTAATCGACACGACGTATTGGGTTAACAATGTTTCCGCAGATTTTTCGAGAAACCTTTCCGCTTAGTTTTTGATTCTTCGGTGATGGTTTTTTCGGAGTCACTCGCGGAGTTTTACCAAAATTTATTTCACCGAGATTTAGTCGCAAAATATTTTAGCGGGTTTCTCGGACAGAATGAATCACATAATCAGCAATAGGATCAGTCGGGGAGGAGGGAGGACGTGTTCTCTATTGCTGCTTTGTGTTCTCAATTTTTCTTTTGCCGCAAATGTTCTTGACATTATTCCGTGACTCACTTGGTTTGACGGAAAATGAGATCAATGCTTTGATGCCTAAAGATTTCGATTCTTATACTTGTTTTATCGAGTTTGAGAAGATCTTTATGACTTCGGAAAATCATCGAGTTTCGCTCTGAATTTTCGCAGAGATTTTCTAACCGCATGATTGCGACGAGAGATGCTGTATAGTCCTCAAGATTATTTCCCAGACGCTTTGGATCAGTTTTTAGCGTTTAGATGGTTCTTTGATTGTCGTTTGCTTTTGGGATGATTTTGACGAGACGTCGCATTGTCCGAATATTTTTCTGCTTGTTTTGGCGAGAGTTTGCTTTATAGAAAGCGTTTTCTCGACGCGAGGGAAAATATTCGACGAAAAGAAAAAAGACGAGTTTCCTTTGAAGGATTCGGATGATCGATAATCCGGGTTGGTTAAAGACTATAGTAGATTGGCGATGACTTGGAGTATGTCTGGTTTACGAAAATTTCTAGGAGCAAATCGGTTTTAAGACGACGTCAGCGTCTCTAGCTCCTTCTTTCTTAGTTTCGTCGATGATTTGGGATCGTCTATTCTTCGTTCTTCGTCTTTTGACTTACCGGTCTTCGACGAATTACGAGCATGAGTATCGGAGCGGGGACAAGACTTAACCATCGGAGCTCATGTTCTTGTTTCTTCGTACTGCTGGTTTTATTTGACCGACTAGGTGCGCTTTGTATATCGAAAAAATCAATCATGTGTTTATGATTGGATATTTTCGACTTAGTGTGGCAGAGTTTCGTAAAACCGGATTGGTTTTAGAGAGTTCAGATTTCTCGTATAGTTTAAGCAAATTTGGTGTTAAGTCAACCGTTGCCGTTTTAGACGATTGATTCGAACTTATACGAAGAAACAAGTCTTTGTGGTTTTATCGTAAAATCCCGAAGGAAATTCCGGTTGAGACAAAACGAGAATCAGCGCGGTCAAGACTCGAGAGAGAAACTCAAGAATTGGTTCAGCTTCAAGGTAGGGCAAGTCGGGTGAACCCTTTCAGCTCGCCGTGTGGCGATCTGGATGGTAAGAACCCTTGGGGAAAAGTCAGCGTCTCTTGGGCGAGCTAGGCGCTTGGTTCAGCTCGCCGTATGGCGATCTAGGTAGCTCTATGTTCGGCGAGCTAAGACGCTCGGTTTAGCTCTACGTTTGGCGAGCTAAGACGCTTGGCGCGGGTGATCTCGATTCGTCGAGTTGACTTGTTTTTGTCGTAGAGATCTCGATGGAAAGTCCGATTGAGACGAAATGAAAAGCGTCTCGATCAAGGTTCGAGATGGAAATTTTTCGATCCGTCGAGCTTGTCCAACTTGCCTAATGGTGTGTTGGCGAGCACAGTCCTTATTCATCAAGCTCTATTGTTTTTGTTGTAAAATCTCAACGGAAACTTTGATTGAGATGAAACGAAAAGCAGTGCAATTATTGTTTAGAGTACGATCAGGTTCACCATAGCTATAAGTTGGATTGTGCGGACTCACTGGTTGGATAGCTATAACCAGTGCCTCTAGGACGAGGTGGAAAGCCGGTCGGCTCGCAAAGATGGCGAGCTAGGTTGCTTGGCCGACTCACCGTCTTTTCGGCTGGATAGTATTGCCCGATTCTGCGAGTAGCCTAAGGTTCTTCCGCGAGCAACCTAGGGTTTTGTTGCGAATAACCTAGGATTTTCCCGCGAGTAACCTAGGGCTTTCTCCGCGAGTAAAGCTAGGGCTTTCTCCGCGAGTAACCTAGGGCTTTCTCCGCGAACAACATAGGGTTTTGCCGCGAATAACCTACGGTTTTTCCGCGAGTAACTTACGGTTTGTTCCGCGGCTTCTGGGAGAGCAAGTTTTATTTTTCCGAAAAGTTCTCGGAAAACGTCTTTTGCTAAACCCGTGAGATTTGTCCAACTCGGAAATAAGAAAAACACTACGGGGTTTGATAGATTTTATCGTTGCCCTTAGTGACCTGAGATAGAAATCGTGAGCTTGTTTTGTTGCTCTTCACATGGCGAAGAGTCGCGATTAGGTTTTCAATTTTGTTGAGTACTACAGCGTTTGCGTGGGCGTTGGCTGTACGAGTAGTCGCTGCTGGAGTTGTTTTACCAGCGTCTTTTTTGCGAGTTGCGACTTTATCTTTCATATCTCCAGACATCGTTTTGATCAAGCGTTTTGCGGCTATGAGTAAGAGTAATCCGACCCCCCCCCCTCTTTCTAGCGCCAAACTGTGGGAACCAAGATTCACACTTGTCGATTTCCGTTAAATAAGGAAACTTAGGAAAACCCTAATTTCCCAGAGGAACCGGATCTCTGCGAAAGCCAACGACAAGTAACCAAATAAATGCGGAAAAATATGAAAAACGCAATAAAACGAATTTATAAAGAAAGTCGATCTTATTTCCGATTTGCATAAGAACGTTGCGATCATTACAGGGAATTACAAAGGCTTTGGCCGCAGGGGCCATCAGCGAGTTACAAACATAAAACCCTAGACTAGTCGAGTCGCAGCTTGATAACGAAAGACGGAAAAAGATAGGAAAAAAGGTTTGATTGATTTCGGACTGAACCTTATGAAAGGCTGCCTACGTACCCCTTTCGAGGATCAAGTCGAACGTAGTTCAGTTGATTGAGCTGGACAAGAGATCGAACTGCCTGGGCGAGTTCGTCTAGTGATTGAGCGCCAGTCATA